TTACATGTCCTAATCTAATATGCCATAAATCATAGTACTCAAAGCTATAAGCAGAAATAGGCTTTTCATTTTCATTGAAAATGGTTACATGACTCTTGGCTATTACATTCATTTTAAGAAAACCTTTGTCCCGATAGCCACGTCCAATGAATGTTTCAGACTTGCTAAGATCAAATTTCTTAGCATCAAACACAAGTTTAAATCCATGCTCAACAAGAAGAGATCTGGAGACCAAATTCTTTTGGATATTTGGGACATATAGAACATCTTTAAGCTTTAATTCCTCTTCAGAAGTTAGCTTCAACACCACGGTGCGAACTCCAGCCACATCAGACGTGGAAGAGTTTCCCATGTGAAGTTTATGATCTTAGAAGGAGTGTATTCAGAAAACAGCTCCTTGTCGGAACACACATGGCGAGTGGCACCAGTATCGATGTACCATTCCCTTGGGTTATCCACCATATTGGCTTCAAACACCACAACCGACATATCAAAGTCGGTCAGTTCACCCGACACATGGTCGTGTTCAGCAACGAGGGCACTCGGTTGTGCTTTCTTCTGCCAACCTTCTTAGGCTTTTTGCAATCCTTAGCCATAAGATTGGCTTTCCACAGTTGGGGCAAGTGCAGATAAACTTCTAAACCTTGGTAGTTGTTTCCCTTTGTTAAGGGACTTCTTCTTGTTCGAGTTGCCTTGCTCCAGCAAGTTAACATGAGCCTTCATCATCGGGGCCTTCCCTAAAGACTTTCGGTTGTCCTCTTCAATGCGAAACGAACAACCAGGTATTCAAGACTCATCTCCTTCCTCTTATGCTTGAGGTAGTTCTTGAAGTCTTTTTAACTCGACGACAGTTTTTTGATCACAGCCGCAACTTGATGACTCGCTCAGAAACATTTCTTCAGCATGGATATTGTGCAATATGAGTTGGAACTCATGCACTTGATCGCCGCGATGTGTTCCTTCGCTATCCGAGGTCGGAAATTTGATAGAGTAGTGGAAAATAGAGACGGGGACCCTCAGCTTGTAGAGCGTCGTTCTACTTAGGATGGCATTTTACTCACTTGGGCAGTCCATGATCTTGAAAGTTTCAAGGATCGTCCTTGTGGGCTGCCCATCTCCTCCGAACTTGACCTGCAACACGATTCAGCTGACGGGTAGCGTCGTCTGTCCATTGAAGCCCTGGATCCGCTCTCGACACGGTTACACCTTCTTCATGTCGACACCCATTTTCTTAAAGGTGTCGTAGTAGAGTATACTTGCGTAGGCCCCAGTGTCGACCATGATGTGGTGTACCTTTATCGCCATGATCGGCGCCGTGATCACCAGGGCGTTGGAGTGCGGGTGGTCGAATAGAAAAGCATCTTCGTCGGTAAAGGAGATCTTGTTCGGTGTGGGTTCGACCACCGGTCTGCTGCCAGCATGTTGGACCCTCTGCCCGGCATAATAGGCTTGCCGGGCGTAGGCCTTGGTTTGCCTCCTTGGAAAATAGTGGATCGTCTCGGCTTGTGTTGACGCGCCGATGTGGGTAGGCCGGCGTCTCATTCTCCTGATCCGAGGATCGACTTCTCTTTATGATTCTGGAAGTGCCGACCTCACCTTGGTGGGCCGGACAGAAGGTCATGATTTTCTGATTGCCGCCCTGCAGCGGCCTCTTCCTCCGGTGGTGGACGTCGGAGTCTTAATCACTGTTAGGGCCGTTCTCAAACTGACCCCCTCTATTTTTGTTGTCGTTTGAGTGGGTGAGCTTCTTCATCTGCGGGTCATCTCTCAGTTTGAGCAGTGCCGTGATAAGATTGGTTGGTGTTGTGTCCGTTCCCCTTGTGATAGGCGCAATACCGGGATTTGTCGACCTTGCTCTGGTCGGCCTGCATCGGCTTCAGGTCTGGGAGTATTACCCTAGCCTTAATCTCCTCATAGAATGCTCCCACAGAGAAGAAGCCTTGATAATTCTCTTTGAGTTCTTCGGGTCTTTGCCTCCTCAGAGCCCAAACTTCTGCCAGGGACTTGCTCGGCTTCCCCGATTTCTCCTCCTTAGCCTTGCCTTTAGACGACATGGCGTCAAACGTCAGAATGAACATGGATTCCTCTCCCATGATATAATCCTGGGCCCGAGCTAAAAATTCCTAGTAGATGCTTGGCTTGTTCTGGCATAATGACCATTTGAACATGGTTTTTTGTTTCAACCCGGCTTGCACGGAAACCTCCGGGTGGCACTGCTCCAGACTCCATGTTCTGGACTCGGTCATTGAACCGGGAAATGTAGTCTTTTAGACTCTCATATCCCCTTGAATGATATTCATAATTGACTCCTTTGGGGCGAGGTTAATCTGTGACCCGATGAAGTGTGAGCAGAATGCCGCCTGAGTTGCCCCCATGAGGAGATGGAGTGGGGGTACAAAGAGTGATACCACCTTTGCGCCTTAGGCCCCAGTCTAAGGGAGAACATTCGGCAGTGTAAGGCGTCCGTCGCACCGTGCAGGTCCATCCACGAAGTGTAGAGGCATATGTGGGAGTCTGGATCTTTGTCGGCACGGCCTCCTGCAGGATATCTGGGGAGAGTGGCGAAGTGTGGTCCACGACCCAAGAACTTGATCGCGGGGGGAATGTCGACGGTCCCCCTGGGACGTGTGCCGAGCTTCCAGCTCGGCTATCTTTCGCTTAAGGGCAGCGACCTCATCAGTGTCGCACCCGATAGCTTTTCCTCATTCAATGACCTCCTTGAGATCGCAGTTATCCTGGCTCTTATCGCCCAAGCATTGGTGGATGAGCCGGCAGACGATTTGCAGGCTCGGTTCCGGGTGACTTTCATCCGTTTGTTCGGTGTGTGCCACGCTTGCCGTCCTTTCACGTCGGTTCTGGGCCTCCCCGTTGGGCGATTGGGCTGTGGTCTTAGAACGACCCGACTTTCTCCTGTAGCACCTAGCCTCCTTGTCGGGGGATTAGAGTAACGTGTTGCCGGGATCGCCGGTTTCCACAACGATGTTTGCCCCGGCTGCGTGACTGGCCAAGGCCTTAGCGAAAGCCCTCTCAAGGACTTTAAGGTCGTCGGGGTGCTGCATTGCTGCAGCAAAATTTGAGACTGGCGGGACAGGAGCTTGAGTTCCTTGTTGAGCCCTGTGTGAGGCTTCCTCGCCATTGCGCCGGTGAGACTGAGCTCTGGACTGGTGGGTAGACTCGTCATGACCGGATGAAGTCACTTTTGGTCGATTTTTGAGGTGGAAAAGTGAGAAAAAAGATGAACTTGATGTGGAGTTCCATAAAGTCGAAGTGTTGACACCAAATATCTTATGGTGCCCTTCCTCTAGCGCCAAACTGTTGATGGACGGATCCGATCAACAGTTAAAATATAATATAATGAAAGTGAAAAATATAAAACAGAAAGAAAATACGGTTTAATTGAGTTTTATTAAATAATTACAAGGTCAGCCTCTAAGCTTGAGGTCGGCACTTAGCTTACACGTGAAAATAATTACATGAATTTATTACAGAATTCTAGAGAGAGAAAGTAGTAGTTGGAGAACTCAACAACTCAAAATAAATGAGATGGGTTTCTATTTATAGTATCTTTGAATGTGGCACTGTTCTGGTACTGTTCAATGGTCTTGTAGCACAGTACTTCTGCTGGCCATGTCGGTGCTTTCCTGACAGATATTAAATGCGATTTGAAGTTTCTTCAATCATGACCTGTCAGACAATTAATGCACACATGTGATACATTAAATACTGGCAAGCCTTTTTGTCGGGCTAGGTGCACTAGGAGGATAGATTAGAGTGGCATGTTCCATCAACAATCATTATCCGTCAAGTGACAGTATTATATTATTATTGAGTCTCGTGCCTGTCCTCGGGCCGATCGTCCCAGACCTCCAGGTCAGCACTTGAACCTTTAATCTTCCCCGAGCCCTCTAGAATCCATTATTCTGCTCGGTAGTCGGCGAGGTCGGCACTTCCGCGTGACTTGCCAGATGCCGACCTCCAAGAGTGTATCGAACATCGCCACAACTGGTTTTCTCCTTTAGTCAGCTCGACACTCTATCTCGAGTCGCTCTTTTGTCGCTAAACCGTGGATCCCAGGTTAGACCGATCTGGATATCAACAAGAAATATCACCAATCTTTAAAGTCTTAATAAACCATAGTGTCAAATAAATTAAATATCTAAGGATTTTGTAAGACTTTTGAAAATTACAATTGAATACCCCACGATTTTTAAAAGTTTAACAAATCTAAATTGAATACACTCCTATTAGTTTATGAATTTTTGTTTTTCTTTTTTATAAAGCTTTTTGGGTCAAGGTTACTTTGACAATTTTGGTTGCGAAATGGGTCATATGAATAATTCCCTCTAAATCTATCATGTTTTCTTTTGATTAATAAATGTTATATAAAAAAAAAGTGTGCAAATTTATTATTGTTGTCATTTAATTTCTTAAAAATAATAGATATCTTCATTTTTTTTTGGTACAGGGACCTTCCGGTCACAAGGGCGGCAAAGCTCTCCCTCAAGA